AGGGGTAAGGCCAGGAGCAGCCAGCCCTAAGCTCCACCCAGACTGTGCCAGGAGCCCGCACCTCCAGCCAGCCCTTAGTACTGCCTGGGCCAGCGCTCCGGCTGCCCCTGCTGCTGCAGGAGCAGTGACAGCTGCCTGGAGCCCCGGGCCCTTGTGAATCTCTGAGCCCTGGGGCAGTTGCCCCCGCCCCCTTCCTTGTCAGCAGGCCTGTTGTTCAATCCAGCCTCAGTGTGTGACTAACCACAGGCTGGACCTCCCAGCACTTAAACCAGGCCCGGGCTGGATAGCGGGGGGCCCAGGATGCGGAAATATGGGGAAGGGGAGCAGGAACCTGGGAATAGGGATGGAGAAGAGGACCAGGGGACCAGAAGGGGACCCCTGGGGAGGAGAATAAAGGTTTGTTTCTGTGCTAATTCTCCACACAGTGCTGGAGGTGCGGTATTTACTCAGTGAACTGAGAAGGAAGCCAAAAGGTTGGCTGCTCTCCTCCAAGCCAGTATCCGCCACTGGGCAGAGGCTCTGAAGCACATTATAAAGGTGCCGTGTTCATGGGCTTGCTGGGAAGGAGACCTGAGTTTAGGTTTGGCAACCAGCAGCCCCTGTATTTGACTATACCTGGTCAAGGTAAATATTGGCTCTTTCTGACTAGTCTAGGAGACAGGTTGCAAAGCTGGAACCTGCTCTGGAAACCAGAGGTGCCAGCTTGAAGGGCATCACTCTAAGGAGACGTTTTTTCGACAAAAATGCTCACCACAGGCGCAACAAGACCCTCCGGGCCCTATAGAATCCATCAGGGGAAGGGACTTTTCCAAAAACACATCCATTCAACTCACCTCCCCCACTTCCCCCAAAAACCCCACCCTTTGAAAAGCAGGCCAGAAAATGGGAAGACGGGTCTGTGAAAAATTTGCAAAGGAGTCAGAATTAGGAGTGGGATGGGTGTGGCATATTCGTGGCATATGTGCGTTTTGGGGGAGGAGGAATGAAAAAAACGTTTTCTCGAAGCGCCCCACCTGAAAAAGTGCTGGGTTGTCATTGGCAACCTGCAAAAAAAGTCCCAGCTGCATGAAAATTGTCCCAGGAAGAGTCTTTTGTTTTGAGAGGAAAAGGCCATTTTTATTGGGGAGATGGAATATGTTTGCCCCACATGGCAAAGGCAATTGACCGAGTGTAGACAAAGCGTTCTTGGTATGACCTTCTCTGCAAGGCACAGCTCAGCGCCTTCCTGCCTCTGAACAGACCAGCGAACAGCTGTGCAGGGCCCTTATTCGTCTTTCTCTTACCCTGTTGCCTCTGAGAGCCAACGCCTGACTGGCACCGGTGTTTGTGAGAAGCCAGCCCTGGGTACCTAACAGAGATCTCTAAGAAGCTCTTGCTAAGGCGCTTGTCTGACCCCTACTACCCTAGCAGCCGAGCCTCTCCCAGTCTCAGAGCCTGCTGGGAGGCAGGGCTGTCACGCCATTGAACAGCTGGGAAACTGAGGCACGCCACAGCTAAGTAACTTACTCGGGGTCACACAGGGAATCTGTGGCAGCCCAGAGACTTGCACGCAGGTGCCAGGCTCCTTCCATTTTCTCTAGTTGTCAGCTCAGACTCTACTGTTCACGCACATTCGGCATTGTGGACATGACTGGTGGTTTATGGGCCTTGTGCAAGGGAGGCGGGGGTGGTGGTGGTGCTGGATTCCTGTTCTCTTTGGCCAGGATCTGCTTTTCGAGAGGCGGCATGGTAGGTGGGCCTAGCAAGGGCATCACACCTCGCATTCCTTTCAATTCCCTGTCGGACCCAGAAGGCTGCATTTCCAAAGTGGCTTTTACTCTCACAGGGCGCATCATGCTTGTGTAATGGTGATTCCTGCAGCAGTGAGTTCCACAGTTCTCCTCGACCAGGCTTTAGTCCTGCAGACTGGAAAAAACTCGTTCCATGGCACTAAGCCCTCTGACCCTGCTCCTCTTCAGAACAGCCATGTGACTTTGGTTGCAAGCTCTCAGGGCCGCTTTCTTTGTGTGCATCTACAGCACAAAGAGCGAACCCTTGGCTTTTCATTGGTGGTCTCCAGCTGCCCCTGCACTATTGCTGTGGGGATGGTTATGCTCAGGGACTTCGTGCTGGGTGAGCTTATACCTAGCTGGCTGGCTAGCTAGGTACAGGTTAACTAGTGATGCTTACCAGGTAACCGTTTAACCTGTTACCCATTAACATCCCTAGTATAAATCACCTTATTAATGCCCGTGGAGGTGCCTACATTCGTTTCAAATACATGAGCCATGGAAGATACAATCTCCCGCTACTGTGACCAAGATATTTCGAGCCACAGCAGCCAGAGGTGAATGGAACATTGTGCTCCAGCTGGGAGGCAGCGAAGCGGGTATTGACAGATGGCGCTTGCGAGTGCCTGTTTGCACAGAGCTGAAAAGATGCAAATCCCTGGTCTGCTGGAAACATTGGCTAAATCTCACTCATGTCTAGAGCTAAGGTGGCAGGAAGGAGCGAAAGTCAACATGACCTGAAACGGCCCAGCCCGCGATGGACGGGCAGGGGGACAGGACTGATTCTGTTCAGACGGCGGGAGGACAGGAAGAAAATCTGAAGGCAGATTTCCGGGCCGTGCGGAGCCGGGAGCCGGCACTGGTATCTGGACGTTGCTTCTGTAGGTTCCAAGCGAATCTTTGCGGGAGTCCAACAGACCCAAGCAGCCTTTGACATGTCAATTTGCTATTGGCCGCTAGGAGCCAGTGAGCCAAGGAAAACAACAGACTCTTACTTGCATTGTCAGCCGCACACTGGAAGAGGCTGCAGGCCAAATCTACCCTCGTGGGGGTCGTCCTGCTCCAAAATGTTTACAGCAGGGCTCTCAAACGCAATTTACCTTAGAGCCAGGGCCAGTCCTCAGCTCCTCCCTGTGGGTCAGCAGGCCCCCCTCTGGCAGATCTTGGAGGGGTGGGGGGTCTCCGCATGCTCCCCCCATGCGTCCCCTGCCCCCAAGTGATTTATTCCCCCTGCAGGGGCCCTGCCACTACCACCGGCAGTGCGGTGGGGCTAGTGTGGCTTCCAGCTGGTAGCTCCGTGCCACAGCCGTCCCACCCGTGGCCTGGGGGAGGGGTGTGCAGAGCCATCCCATCCATAGGACAGTTCCCCACAGCGGCCGCCCCAACTGTCCTGGAGGAGATGCCCCCCCCCATACTCAGGTTATCCCGGGGCCCTGGACAGGCTAGAGCCAGTAACAGGTCCCTGGAGCCGCAGCAGCCTGCTCCGCTCCATCGCCATCTTCCGAGCTTCCCGCTGCTGAGCCCAGGCCGGCCTAGGACATGGCGGTGGAGCGGAGCGGAGCGGAGGTGGCTGCGTTTCCCTGCAGCTCCCACTGCTGCAGTAAGTGCAGAGGGCCCCAGCCAGGCCCCGCAGTAATGCCCAAAGCCAGGGGAGGGGCAATGGGGGAGGAGAGCGGAGCAAGGGGCGGGACTTGGGGGAGGGTGCGGACACTCCTGGGCCGCAGGGATCGTGGGCCGGATTGTGGGGCTGCTCAAGCCGCAGATGGCCCCAGGCTGAGTGAGACACCCCGGCTTTGCAGCCAGAAAAAGCATGGGCGGAGACTCATGGGAGGGGCCCTACTCCTCAGGGGTATTTAAGTGTTTCGTTCCCACTGAAGTCCATGGAAATTTGGCTGCTCGGTGCCCTTGTGGATCTGGGCTGACGGGACTCACCTGAGCTCACGTAGCAGAGGCAGGATCTGAAGCCACCAAACCCCTCTCTGGAGCCACAGCCATTGAACAAGGCTGCCTGAAGAGGCACATGGAGCCCACCCACGTGACCTTAACTCTGCCCCCGTGGCACGAAGGGGCAAGAGCGGAACCAATTAGCATTTTAAAATATCAAGTGCCCTCTAGTAGAGGCCACAACCAGAACAGCACGTGACGCGTGCGATGAGGGCAGGGGTTATTATGGGCCTGAGTTAAAGCTGGCTGACTGCTCCGACCACGCATTTCCACACCTGGATTTCCATTGGGCCCAACCTTAAACCACATTGTCTTTGATGTGAGAGTTGCAACCGCCCTATAATATATTTGACCATAAATTACCAGTCTGTGCTCTCAGCTGCATCTTACCGTGTCTCTTGTCGGGGAACGTGTTGGCCCTCAACACACACAATCGCTGTGCTTGTGTGGTGTAGGGAGTTAGCAAAGCGCTTACCTTTTTAAAGACTCCAGCTCAAAAACTCACAAGGAGGCAGAAGGCACCACAAAGCCGAATTGATCACCGCTCCTCGCGTGTCTGTTTAAAAGAGGAGCAACATAAATGTCAGACACACATCTCCTACACAAGTCAGAAGCCCGTGCACCAGCAGGACGCGCTACTGCGGGGATTTTGCAAATAGAATCACAGAACACTAGATCTGGAAGGGATCTCGAGAGTGATCCAGTCCAGTCCCCTGATCTCACGGCAGGGCCAACCACTGTCTAGATCATCCCTGACAGGTGTCTGTCCAACCTGCTCTTAAATATCTCCAATGATGGAGATTCCACAACTCCCCAGGCAATTTATTCCAGTGTTTAACCACCCTGACAGGCAGGAAGTGTTTCCTAATGCCCAACCTCAACCTCCCTTGCTGCAATTTAAGCCCAAGTGATGTGTTGTGCAGATAATCACAAGTATAAGCTGGGTGAGACCATGTTTGTTTGCTCATGCCTCAGTTTCAGCTGTCTGCCTGCAGGGGTCACAAAGAGATTTCCCATTCCCTATCTCAGTGCATCGGGAGGGGAGAAGAGGTAGGTTTGGCTGGCTTTTTGGTGGTTGACTCCTTCCTCTGAAATTAAGTCTTTTCTCTTAGGACCCATGTAAAGAAAGGGCTAGGAGGAAAACAAACCAGTCAGTCGAGAGACTCAGCTTATTGAAAGTGGTATTTATTTCAAATAAAAAAATGTATTAAGTAAATTTACCATCCATACATATGAACAATTTGTTAGAGAAAAATGTCGGCGTCCATTGGTTATTAGAATAGACAGTTTTATAGCCTGTTTTATTTATTCACTGTTTTAAACAAGAAACATTACAAAAAATACAGTTTCAGTTTTCAGCTCTTACTTGCAGTAAAAGATAGAAAAGGTACTAAATGAGCTTGGTATAAAAACACACACAAAGAAAGTTACAAACCAGTCTATTAAGAACACAATCTAGTTGGGGGAAATTTTGTACAAAACTACTGCTTATACAGGTACAGAAAAAAAATGTATAAAATACCCCTATTCAGAGACAAAAAAAATACAAAAGCACGTTATTGAATTCTTTACTTGATAATCAAAAAGGTACGTACATTGGAGAGAGAAGCTAGGCTTGGCGGTTTGGGAAATTGTAGTCAAACATCCCTTTGACCTCAAAAAACAAACCCCCAAGCTTCAAAATAAATTAGATAGCTGAAAGCATCAGTAAAAACAAGGGCTGGGATTTTCAAATGACGCTAAAGGAGTCTGACACAAGGAAAAGTTTTCAGAAACATCTACATGACTTAAATGCCTAAATCCCATTGACTCTCAATAGGCTTAAACGTGTCTAAAAATTCCCCACTGAACAACAATGGGATTTTGGTACCCAATTCCCTTAGGGACCTTTGAAAATCTCAGCCTGAAAGTACCTAAAAATGATGCCTCTGGAAGCACGTTTTAACCTTGATCTGCGGCCTGATACCTTGTGTCATCATTTATACCTGGGCAAAACGTTACCGAGCAATGAGGGGAGAATTCATATACAGGGTGTTTCTCACCCATGCCGCTCAGTTGTAAATGTGTGCCCACGAATGAAGGTGACTGGTGAGAATCAAAACCATTGTCTCTTGGTAGGACTTTAAAAATCGAGGAAGCAAGAGAACAGCTGCAGAACAAGATACATATTTGTGTGTTCTTTGTTGCGCTGGGAAACACTTGTAAGAGACAAATGCAAGAAACAATTCACCATCCTTAGTACAGTTATACTAATCTACAAGTTGCATTTGTACCTGAATTCCATAGTTTATGCTAAAAATTAGGAGATTTCTTATTTTCCTTGGTCAGAAAAATGCTGCTGCAGATCCAAACAAACCCATCCCTCTGGATCTTCTGATTCATGGCAGCTTACAAATTTGCTCTCAAAAGAAACTATCGCGTGTTGCTTTTCTCCTGTCAGCTCTTCAAGAAGCAAGAGCCACATCCTGTTCTGTCCCAGGCACCATGGGTACAGTAGGCAGGTTTTGATTTTAGGTGCACTGCTGTCAGGGGACAATAGGCTGAGCTTGTCACTAGGAAAAGAAAATGCTGGCTTTGAGAGAGAGCAGAGTTCATATGGGAGTCGCTAGTGGGACAGACACAACAAATCAATGAATCCTAGTTAGAATCACTGTTTCTGACCATCAGCACAAAGGGCTTTCTTTCTTCTGTTCAGTTTCAATCAACCCCTAGTATAACCATGTGCTGGCAATCCAGGGAGTAGCTGCTTCCTGTGTGCTGGCATCTGACAGGTCTTCCTATAGGGCAGTCCTAACAAAGCATCCATCTCCAAGTACCCCCGTTCCACCCACCCACCACGAGGCTCGAGAGCAAAGTTCTTCTGCTCACAGTGGGAATGCTGAGACCCACATTTGCTTCCCCCTCCCTGAAATAGAGACACCTGTAAGTGTAGAGCTATCAGCCTGTGAAACTGATAGCAAGAGATTCTAGAAGCAGAAAATAAGTCTCTTGAATGTCCAAAGCTGCCCACGGATTGATAAAAATAGGTTTCAAATTTAAAACCCCCAAACAAACCAAGAAAAAAGGCGAGTGTGCTTCCGACGGCTTCCAGCATGCACTGGTCCATGAGTGGCGTTCATAGAACCTCCTACTGAGCCACTGAAGATTCTTTGCCTGGAAACCCATGCAAGTCCCAGATCTGCTAGAGTGGAGATTGCTGAGCAGGATGAGTCTGGACGCTTTTGGCAGAATCTCTTCAGGATCCTGCTTTTGGCACAGGGTCATCATAAAAGCCTGCGATGGAGGATCTCCCAGGCCATCCGCTTGCGGAAGTAGGGCATGTGTTGCTTTGGGGAAGGGGGAGAGAGAAAGACACGCACATGAATGGCCCTTTTCCTAACAGATTGTTTCTACACCTCCTCGCCACCGAGTGCCTGTTCCCGGAGAAACGCAGCAAAGTGCCTGAACTGAAATTCAGTGGGATTCGAGCACCTCGCTCTGTTAGGCAACTGTGAAAATCTCAACAACGTTTTTCACTGCACGTGAGCGGAAATTGAATCCTAACTGTTCTGTTCTGGCGGTGTCATATGTTTCTACGGCCAATATAAACCCTCTGTAGCATTGGCGTCCCGGCCAGGCTTCACTGATGCACAGACCCTGCCCTTTGCACAAGAGTGAATTTACCTCCAAGCACAGAGAACAGCTCAGCTAGCAACCAACAAGGAGCAAGGGGAGACTCCAAGACATTCACTGACAAAGGGGCGCACAAAATCTGATGACATACGAACGTGTCGTCTAGTCCTCTGGCTCCTAGGGCACCGAGGGATCACGCTACATGTGGAAAATGATTCAAGGGCATGGGCAACTGAGAATGGAGCAGAAGAGGAGGAAAACAAAGACATTCCTTGTGTATGTGCCACATCCTTGCTGAGCTTCCTACTGTCTTCCCACGTGAGCCAACCCACGGCAGGAGAACCCTGTGTTAGCCCCACAGCTCCGCTGAAATGTCAGCGCCGGGCTTACCTGAGTGAAATTGATCGGTCTGTCTTTGGTAATGTAGTCGGCGTATTTACAGGCAAACATCCCGCAGTCGCTGCCATTCATCTGTTGAGGGATTTCCTTTAACAACAACAGGGAGCCCTGAGCCTCTCTATATAACCTGGCATTAACTTTAGCAAACACCCAGAGCCACAAGGGGGGTGAGAAGCCCCAGGGTCTCCCTGGGACTCAGGGAGTTGAGGCATGTAGCGAGGAAGGTTGGCACCCTCTGACCCGGAAGGGGAAGGCCCCTTCAATGTACCCCTGTGGGCAGAGCCAGATCAGCCTCACCCCACCCCTGGAAGCAGACGGCGGGGCTGGAAGTATAAAGGCTGGGACCTAGCCACTGGAGATGGAGATTCCTCCTGGTTCCTCAGGCGAGCTCAGAGGCAGAGGACAAGTGGCCTGGACTCCCATCCAATACTGATCCGGGGAAGCCAGCGACTGGCCCGCGTTACCTGGACCCGACAGACATGGACCCCGAGAAGCTGCTGCTGGTGCCGACCAATCCCTGAGACTCCAGGGGTGCCTGGAGGGGGAGTGCAGTGTGGCCCAGGGATAGCTGAAGTCAGTCAGCGGGTTGCAGTGTGGCTCCCCCACTGACTCAGGCTGCTCCCATTGGGGCCTGGGCGGGGGTGCAGTGAAGTGGGTAGGCCTGTGATGCCTCTGCAACCTTCCCCTGCACCTAGCGAGAGCTGAACTCGTTCTGGCTCTGCCTGCAGGCAGGCCGAGCCCTCTGACTTGGTGCTTACCCAGCCCTGAACCAGGGTTGAGTCCTGGACTCCAGGTCATCACCCTATCTAGGCACCCAAGGGTCTGAGCACCTCAGTCACTCGCGAGCTTGCATTTACAGCGCCTCTGGAGAGGAATGAACCCCATTTTACAGATAGAGAATGGAGGCAGAGAGAGGTGACTTTGTTTAGACACATAAAAAGGCGGCAGCAGAGCCAGGAATTGAACCCAGCTCAACCCAAATCCCATTCCACTGCCTCAGTATGGCACAGGCCACATACAAGAGGTGAGAGCCAATTCCCTTGTGACTGATGTGCACACCTATTGGAGAAAAGCAGCTTTCCCATGCATGCCCGGCAGCAAGAGATTAACGGGGAACAACTAGGCCACAACGGAATTTGTGCAGCTCTCTCTGTCCCTTTCTATGGGCTCTACTTGCAGGAGAACAACATACCTGACTCTTCTTGCTGAGTAACAACCAGCCGTTCGTGTCAAATTCTTTCCGTTTTTTGTCAAGGCTCTCCTGTTTTAAGTACTGCCTGCCGGGAACAAGGGGCAGAGAATGTGGCTGAGAGAGGAAAAACAAAACAAAAATCCCTAACTTCTAATGCACAGGTTATCTAAAACTTCCACCTCCAATTTGTTCTGAGAACTGAGCTCAGGAAACATTATAATTACCTCTCACCTGTGGCTGTTCTTGCCTTCTTAACACAGAATTTTCAAGTTCCCTGAAATCCAAATGAGTATTGAGCATAGCTCATCTCAAAACTACTCAGTGTCAAAGCCACAAAAATGTCAACAGAACCCTCCTGAGTAACACAGAGGAGACACCTGTCTTGGCTAGAAAGGCTCCTGCAAACTGAGCTTCAGGGCTGGAGACTGAATTTGGTTCCCTGATTTATCTAGAGCAGAGGTGGACAATAAAACGGTGGCTCACCTGGACTGGCAGGCTGAAGCTGCTGTATTTACCTGCACCTCTGTGGGTACAGGTGATTGCTGCTCCTGTTGGCTGCGGATCGCTGCTCCCAGCCAATGGACGCTGCAGGAAGCGGCATGGACTGGGAGAGGTGCAGGAAATATAATGGCGGTGGCCCAACAGAGGCCAACCGGTTCTGGCCTGCAGGCTGGTATTTGCCACCCTGATCTAGAGCTTCCTGTAGTTTGTTGCCTCTCACATTTTGCTGTGCTCATCTTCTTCCACTTTCATTTGTTATCCTTAGCAGTGTGGACAACTGCAATTTGTTGGAGCGTCAACAGAAGGTATGTAGACGTTAAACAGCAGCCTGGACACTATGTAACTTGCCAACATAGCTCTAATGCTCCACAATCTTTATTCCAGACTTCTTCACCCTGGGCTCCAGTCTACCATTGATGTGACCTTTGATCTTTACCTTACCAATATGCAGAGACTGACTAAGAGTGTGTGAGTGGGGGTGGGCGGGTTGTCATAGGAAAGCTTAGAATTAGTAGCCATGAGTTATTTGAATGAAACGTAGTGATGACGGGGGAGGGTGGGATGGGAGAACGTGTGTAATGAAATGACTCTCGGATATTAGATTTCCAGGAAGCATCTTTTGGGAATTAAATCTAGTGACAAAATCCCACTGAGTCGAACAGTGGGGAAAAGGGAAATCTGAAAACACCTAAGTTAAGGTGCATAAGAGCACAAAAGCCATCAAGAGAACAAGCAGTAATTGCCCTGGGCAAACTGACTGCAGGGAAATTCCCTGACGACTTCTATCTGGAAGATATCAAATGCAAGGGGAAATAGGAAAACAATCCATTCAAGGCAGCAAGCCCAGACAACGTGCAGCCTCGTCTCTTGTTATGTGTCATCAAACTCTGGCTCAGCTAAGCCTGCCGTAGATCACGTTTCCGTAGGCCACCACGTCTGTCCAAACGGACACCCAGGCCCGCTGTCCGTAGCTGGGATCTTCTTCTCCCTGTTCTGCTGGCTTTCAAGACCCATCCATTCAAACCGATGGTATTTAATCTCCATTTCCTTCCTGTGCTTTCTGATCAGACCTGCCACAGCAAGAAGCATCTCTGATTTCTGCTTTGAAAAGATGCAAACCCTACGGTGCCTTCCAAAGAGACCGTGTTCTGAAGAGGTCAGAGCCTCTGTAACAGAGGTTCAAGTCTGCATTCCCCGCCTTGCAGGACCTGGCTGGCCTGTCCAGGACAGCGGAAGGGAGGATGGCAGAACAGCGGTGACAACGTCCCTTAGGAGACCCACACAGTTGATGGGAAAATATCCTTGTTCATCACTGTTCAGCCTTAGGCCTGGGCTTGGGCGGAGCTTTGGGACCTCCCAACACAGCTTCAGATAATCCATTCCGGAATGGAGCGGAGCCCCGGCAGCAGGCCCCAGGAAAGTGCCTCAGCTACTTTCAGAGGAAACCAGCTGTCACCTGCTCCTCCAGCCTCCTTCAGCAGACCGATGCTCCGAGGAGCAGATCCAAAGGCATTCTTGGAACTTTCTTCTCTCTCCCTGCCTGCCAGAGCTTCCATAAGGCTGGCTGGCTCCAGCTGCTTGGGGCTAGGGACAAGGTCAAGGTCCAGAACTGGAAATTTGATTTTCCTTTCTAGGAGAGACCTCATTCCCAGTCCATCCCACCAAAATTAGCTCTTCAGGTAACTTCTGTGATGGCCCTTTGGAGTCCCTCCCTATAGCCCACATAAGGCAGGGATGGACAACCAGCAATGGTGGGGGGGCTGCAGGAGTGGCCCTCCACCTCAGCGGGCTGCAGCAGCCTGCGACCTCCCATCTGTTCCCCTCCCCTATGGGCCTCTCGCGCACTGGGGCACAGGACCCCCGCACTTACCTTGCTCCCTCTCCCTCCCAGCACTTCCGGAGCATGCAGATCACCTGATTCACGCTCCAGCCTCACTCCTCCCCCACTCCCAGAGCCTCGATGCCACAAACAGCTGACTCATGGTGTTCCAGAGCTCTGGGAGGGAGGGCGAGGCGGGGGACAGAATATGAACCAGGCAATTCGTGGCTTTCAGAAGTGCTGGAAAGGAGGAGTAGGAAGTGCAGGCCTCTGATGCCTCAGTGCACGAGAGGCGCGTGGGGAAGAGGGGCAGCCAGGAGATCCGAGGGCCAGAGCTGGAAACCCTGTTGGCCACAGGTCACCCACCACTAGCAGAAGGGATCATGGGCTTATAATGAATCTACAAATAAGACAGTTAGGGTTGCAGTTCAGCAGCAGTCGCTGGAGATGGATTGTTTTGAGCTGGGACTGCCAAGGAGAAGTCTGGGTTGCCACTGTGGTACACTGGAGGAGGGGGACACCCCGAATGTCTGATGGAGCTGAGGTCACTTCCAGAAAGGAAATAACTGGGTGACAGATTTTCTGTTTATTTCACTGGCACCACACTCGCACCTGGCCTGCTCTCAGTGGTACTCAGAAATGTGGGCCACCGCGCGACTAGATTCACAACCCTCTTGGGGCATGGCTTATTCACACCCCTGAGTGTTACAGAGTTACGCTGATGTGAGTGGGAGCAAGTACAAGCTCCGAGTCAAAACATGGAACCTCCTAGTATCGCACCTCAGAGCGCTTTGCCACAACCTTCATCCAGCCACAGAAAGTAGGGGAATCAGGGTTCATTCCTGGCTTTGTGACCTTCAGCCAACCCCAGAATCGCTCTCTACCTGAAAACCATCCCCTTCAGTAAAATGGAGCTAAAATCCTTTTAACACTCACCACCTTCAGGAAGCTCTATAGATTGAAAGCATGAAAGGGTCACTAACCATGAATAGGACCTCCGTCCCCTCTTCCCGGTGTGATCCTCCCAGTGCATTCAACCAATAAAAGCCTCCTGAAAGGAAACAAAGGGAAAAGCAATTATGGCGCGGGCAAGGAGCTGTCACTGCAGGTTACTTCTGTCAATTCCAATTGGGCTGTTAGCCAATAGGCTGAAATCCGGGAGGCCTCTCTCAAATCCCACCTACCCCATCGGTCAACAGACCAAAAGCCAGAGCCTCTATGCTGCATCTGAACTGTGATGTTCGTGGCAATCTAAAGAGCTGGGGTCTCCCCCAGCCCAAACCCTAAGGGCAGCTCTAGCTAACAGGCAGAGCTTCCTGGGTTCCTGGATTCTGTCTCAGTTGTGCCGTTCTTTGCCAGATATTGGTGGCTTGTTTCTACTGCAACAGCAGTTAAGCCTGAGACCATTGTCTTCTAAGCGCATTTTCAGAGGTTTTATGTTTTTCTCTGAATTTCTCCTTTCTTACGGGTTTGTCTCATCAGACTGGAGAGAAGGGGTACGTTTTTAACAGTGAGAATCATCAACCATTGCAGCAATTCACCAGGGTCAGGGGAAGATGTAAATCAGTATGGAATGTTATTCTACAGGATCTGCTCTGGGAAATAGTCTGGGGAAGTTTTGTGGCCTGTGCTATCCAGGAAGTCAGACCAGATGATCACACTGGTCTCTTCTGGCCTTGGAATCTATGATTGTCTAAGCCCAGCTACTTAGAAACGTATCAGGAGCCACAGAGCTATTCTTGTGGTGAGTGAAGTGATTCTGGTAGATGGAGTTCAGAAAGCATTTGGAGATCTTAATCAACGGAAGGTGCTAACAGTATTAAATTGAAAGTGATTCCTACCCAGGAATTTACACTGAATTCGTCTTCTTTGTGCCCATATTTCATTTACATCAATGTAATATTATTGCAGACTATTCCAATTCCAAATAGGACTTAGTGCAAAAGTAAAACCAGGAAGGACTTCTATAAAGTCCAAACTCATGCCCTGCAATACCAGAGCATATCACTTGAGTGTGCTGTGACTCTTAGGAGAGCTTCAGCTACTAGATAATTTAGTCTACATATTTTAAGTGACGTGGGAACTTGAGTCCTAGACTCTCAAGTGACTTGAAAATAAACCCCATTGATTTTCAACGAGACTTGGGGTTCTCTGCCTCAACAACGTCTGAAAATAGGGCTTGGGCACCTTTGAAAGTTTTACTCCTTTTGTATGCTACTGCATTTGTAGCCCTCTAACAAAACAGCCTCTCGTTTCTTTTCTTGATTTTGCAATACTTCAAATAACTCCTTTCGACTCCCCAGACTCTTTAGGCAAACATGTTCACACAGAAAGCTCCACAAATATCCCAAAGTCGTGCTCAGGGGAAAGAAGGCAGGACCTGACTTTCAGATGAGTCGGAAAAAAAATGTCTGAGCCTTGACCCAGGTTGGTAATAGCAGCTGAGCATGAGACAAAGCACCCACCCAGGCCACCGTAGTTCTTAACAATTCTCTTGGGAGAGCAAGAGGTGTTGTGGGTTTTGGGGAGTGGAGGGAAAGTGGGAGGAACAGGTCAGTCTGCAGTGCAGGAGCTAGGTCACCAAACTATTTGCCATGGACAGGCCCAGGGAAGGACATGGGCACCTGCAAAATCCAAGGCGGCCAACGCCAGGTTCATTTCTGGAGGAGATGTCGAAGGGAGCCACATCCTAAAGAGGCCGATTCTGGATTCTTCACCTGACTCCATCTCCCTGAGCTATCTGTCCTTTCTCATTTATAGAAGATTGTGATGGACTGGCAATATCCTTAATGACACTAAGATTAAGTTTATTGAATTAAATTTAGCCTTCCTGAATTGGTGTTTGTGGTGGTCATTGTATTGCAAGGCCAATGCTGATGTGCTATTGTGAGATCTTACAGACTTTCCGTAGCAGCAAGAAAAGAGTGCGTTAATCTCTGGAAAGTATGAGGAAGTCAAACTCTTTTTAGAACACGATACGAGAAACGGACTTCTGCAGGGAATACTTTGCAATGAGGAGAATGCAAATGCGACCCCCAAAGTCAAACCTTTTGAAGAGATGCCCTGGGGAAGACAGACCCATCGTGTGACACCAGCTCCAGTTCAAACACCGCTGAAACGTACAAAAAGCGCCTGACCACGGAATGAGCGTGATTGTTTGGAACTCTGCCTGATGAAGTTGTAACCACAAGGAAGCCCCTAAGGAAGGGGATTAAAAGATTGCACCTGACAGGGCCTATGTGAGAGTTCAGTGAACCCACTAGCATGCATGTAGATTCTTCCATTGTTTTTTAATGGATTTTCTCTGTAATGCTCTGGCCTTCAGTCTGCAGCAGGCTTGCCTAGAAAGCCGGCTGATAAGAGCTACAGATACAAGTTATCTGTCTGCAGAGAGAAAGCAAGCAGGTGTCTCCGGACAGCCTGTCTCTGATGGGACTTACAAAGTAAATGCAAGGGAGCTGTGCAGCCTAGGATTACCCTGGTCATAAGGGAGGGAGAAGTACGATTCCACCCTAAAAAGGCCATGGCTAGGGAGCGGAAAGCAGAGAGCGGGTGCCCGGTTGCACCACTGAGGGGGTGTCCAGGTGTAGCTGCCCTGCGCTCTGACAAAGAGCAGTGAGGGGGTGGTGGCCTGGGAATCTGGAAATAGATGAAGCATGCAAATGTCTATAATTTATGGGCCAACTGGGGGTTTTAAGAGGGAGCATTTTATGGAACCTGCTGTGATGTCACCGGCTGATGATCTTGGGCAATGGATGAAGATCAAGTGTCCACGCTGAGATGGTCAGCGACACGTCTAGCAATCCTGAGTAGGAAGGACCCAAGTGCTCCAGTGGTTCTGCTCCCTGGACATACTGAATAGCACTGTGCAATAGCGGGCATGCCCTGACGGGCCTCTCGACTTCTACTTTGTCACCTCGCTATTCAACCCAGGTGGTTCTGAGACGGTCACAAGGCAGCATGGACAGTAATGTGGTCAGTACACAGATGTCACAGCTGTGTGTCTTCTTCCTCCGGACCAGAGGCAGCCTCTTACTTCACCATGTCACAAGCAATAGGAATACGTGGAACACAAACAAACCAGTGACACTCAAGCATAGATCTGCTACTCACAACAGTATCCTGCAGGCTTCGTTGTTTATTCCACCCATGGAATCGTAATAGGTGATGGTTTTCTTTCTGAAGTCTATAACCTACAGAAATCGAAAGGCTTGTTTACTGCATTATTATTAACAAAGTGGCTTCCTCTTTCCTAGGACATATGATCTGCAAATCTATTCACTAAATAGCAGGGATAAGAAAAAAATTGACAGGAATTTAGACAATCCACTGGGATTTCCCTTGAAATCTGAAGGATTTCTCTGTGGATTTTTCTATCAATGGTTCTTTTATGGCTCCCATTCCCACAGTATCTGTGCCCCCTCGCAATCTTAGGAAGGGAAAATATCCCTATTTTTACAGTTGGGAAAACGAGACACAGAGAGACCAAGTGACTTGGCCAAGGTCACACAGGAACTCTGTAGTGGAGTAGAAAATTGAACCAAGGTCTCTTGAGTTCCAGGCTAGCATTCTACCTACTGCACCACCTTTTTCCTCAGTTATGATTGTACTTATTCCTGCTCTTACATTTCAAATGGCTATAGTAAAGTAAGGAAATTGCTTGATTCTGCACATTCTGCAATTTGGCTCCATCTTTCTGGGGCTGGAGCGCCAAGAACTGCATGCATTATATCCAAGGCAGGAGAGAGAGGACACCTAGTTTTGCTGCCCATTACCACCATTGCTGATTTTCCATGTTCCTCAACTAGGTCTAGACAGGCATCTCGAAGGGGTCAGAGTTGTGGGGTATAGTAAAGGCTTACGATGGCCCCTATAACCTTTCATTGCTAGCAACCATGAACCAGAATGAAAAACCCCCAGACTGGCAATGGGGGCATCAGATGAGTTTGTGGGAGCAACGAGATGGAATCTGTTTATCCAAAGAGTGAGTAAACCTGACATGAATCCCAGCAAGACAAAAACGATGTCCTCTCATTTTTACAGAGCCACTTTTTAGATTAGAAGCATGCTTTAAAAAAAAGTTTCACATATTCTGTGGCTCACCCTAGAATTCCTGATATTTAGTCACAAATCAGAATTTCTCAGTGTGCCTCTCCCTGGTGCATGAACCACAAAAGAGATGGGAGGTTTTCGGTTTGAACATAAATGAACTCATGCTGCATCTGTTCCAGCATTTCATTCTTTTTAATGCAACATTAAAAACAAATTAATACTCACGGCTAGGCACCAATGGACTCCAAGATGAATAGGCACCAAGAGAATGTCCACAGAGAAAACATCAACTTTTTTTGTCCACCGTTTCACTGCTTGGTACCCAGCAGTTTTTAACTTGGTAAAAAAGAAGGTATTAAACGCATGAACTGTTGGCAACCCCTTTTCTTTGCTTCGCTCCATCAGCAAATTCATGTAGAAATTAATTATCTAGGAGGGAAAAGCATCCATGTGTGTCAATGTTATATTGCTAATAACTTTGCAATGATTATTGTGCAGGTACGTGAAAAAGGGAGTTCTCCAAGCAAAAGGGTTTCTTTCAAAGTGCTTTATACCTGAATATTTTCTAAAAATGGATTTCAGAACTTCATTTTAATGACTTGGATTTGGAAAGGCTGTCCCTAAGCACTACTAAATGGTAGTTATTTCTTTAGAGCACCTACAGTGTAGCTCTAGGTACCCATTCTGCACTAGGAACAACTATTCCTTAACCTAAATGTAGCTAAAAAGCCAAACACTACCCATTCAGATTATCTACATCAGCCCACTCCTTCCTCAGTAGCCTGAGAGAAGCGTGGGGAGAAAGGGGACAAGTCTGTTCACTTTAACTTAGAACTAGAGCCAGGTAAAAACCATTTTGAATAGTAAATTACCTTTAAAAAATGGAGCATAGATGCTAGTTGCATATTCAGGTCAAAGTTGGTGGATTTTTTTCAGACAAAAGTGAAGGGGGGGGGGAATCAGAAATTTTGACTGGAACTGACATTCAAAGTTTTGTGGGACCTTTTTTTTTTGGCCCTTTGTATTCAGCAAGCTACAGGATATGCATTAAAAGTATACCAGCTACTCTGCACTAACTCTCCATGTGTATAGTGGAGATGTATTTCGTGTGTGCTACAAGTGGCCTCAGACAGGTTAGCTAAGGGCATTCAGCGTGTGGTAAGTACATGCCCATGGAGAATTAGCACGGAGTAGCTACTGTGCACTATTGTTCCCCCTGGAACCTTTCCACTTTTAGACGCAAGGAATCTCCAGATGCATTGGCTAAGGACTTACCTCGTCGTTAAGCCAGTTCAGGTTGTTCAGGGTCTGAATGTCTTTCCGGGTTATCGTTAACCGAAAAGCTTCGCTCAAGATCTCATCCTGGTTTCCACTGCGAAAAACACTCTTGATTTCCCTCTCCATTTCCTACAGAGAACACCAATGTGACGGAAACAAAAAGATGCTTCAGATATTCTAGGCCCATAGGCTAAACTCAAGCCTTCTAGCTACCTAAAATTAGCAAAGAGTTTTCCCTTTCCCGGGGGAAAGGTTTGGTACTACAAACGCTCCAACAAGCAAAAAGATCCAAAATGCTGAGCACAGGAACCTGGCACAGCCCAGCTCAAAAGCCACGTGGAGCCAAGGCCCAAGTTAAGAGCAGGCCACTGGAAATCTTGGAACAACGCAACAGTGACACTGCAGAAGCAGAATGAGGATTGGGGCTTCTGGTTAGTTATCCCACTGGAACAATACGAAACTGGCTTGAAGCAATGGCAGGGAGAACAACAGTGGGCAGAGACTGTCCATGATGAAGCCTCTCTGACTTTGGTTTAGTTGGGATTCAGGGATTTTAGGGCCAAAAAGGAGTCTGGACTTCCTGCATCACACAGGCCAAAAAACCTCACCCAGCAAGAGGTACATCAAGTCTGTAACTCCTGCGTGAGCTACAGCATCTCTTTTTGAAAGTCGTGGCTTATTTAATGAACAGCCTTCACAGTACAATTTTCCCTTCCTCCCCATGGTATTTTGTATCAATTTCAAGATTAACATCTACCACAGAGCGTTTCTCCAAGACCTGCTAACTGTCTCCGGGGTTACTAATCTGTGCATTTCTACCTCTGTGATTTCGGGGAATTCCTCTTCGTTATCAGCTGATTTAGCACTCTCTCTCTCTTCGGGGAGGACTGTGACAGGGATCTCTTTCTCAAGAGGCACTCGAAGATTCAAATCCACGGGATCCTGTATCGAGTGTTCCTGCTCCTGCAATCTCTGACAGAGGGATCTTTAGGTTAGAATGATAACGGAGGTTTTTTGTGGTGCCCAACTCCCAGCCAGAAACATGGACAGAGGTTCTCATTTTAGAGCTACAGCTTCTGGTAAAAAGTCAAAAGCAGCAAAGCAGTGGGTGAGTCCATGCATGGAAGTGCCTAATCCCCAAACCATTACAGTCAATGGGAGGAGTACGGTGGAGACCTAGGATGAAATAACCCTGGATATGCACCTATGCCTGAACTAGTGAGACAGCAACTAGAGATCTAAAATCACGATCATGCCGTCAACCTAAAGTTTAACCGACTAAGTGGACTCCTGGCTCCAGCCCCAGATCTGCTGCCAGTAACAAGCTCCAGGCCTAGAGTTGCCACCAACTCCTGGCCCCACTGGGGCAGCCCTCTGCCTGCGGCAGGCAGTGGGCTGCTCCCAGGCACCGGTTAACCAGTACCCAGTAAGAGTGATGCTTACCAGGTAACCGGTTACCTGTTCACATCCCTGCCAGCAACATAGGTCCTATAATGCCAGCTGGCCAGATAAAAGCATTTATGCCCTATCCATGGTATTAGAGAGAGCAATGGCCTTACAAGAGGGAAAACATGAGGTTAAACTTTACGGAGGTCAAAGGATTTTTTTGTTTGTTTCCTAATAATTGCTTCTGATTTACATTTTAATTGCAATCCCCTTAATTTAGCAGTTTGACTGCCATTCCCAGCCCAGCAGCCTATCCACTACATCATGCTATTTCCAGTTGTATGTCTTTTAAGCTACTATCAGGAGAAACTGGAAGGCAGCTTTAAACCCTAATGCTCAGGGCTCTGCATGCCCAAATGTTTTACCTGGCTCTGCAGCTGCAATGCCAAAGCTTTCTGCTTTTCTATTCGGCGCCATCTCTCCCGAGCTCGTGAATCATAGACGCTAGTTCTGGAAAACAAAGACGTTGGTGCAAACAGTATGTTAAGTGTTTCAGGTGTTAGCGAGGACCCAGAAAGGAAAACAGCTCATATTATGGGATCTACAAAAAGCCAGATTAGCTTCTTGTCTATATTAACGAATCCACCGCACAGCTCTGGCACTACGGAATACACCTTGTATCATCTCCCATTCACCTTTGCTTGGGTGGCACGGACAGTTCCTATTCTGGCAACAGCAAGGGGGATCTAAATAACCAGTAGGGATGTTAGCAATCACTGGTATCGGTTACACTCAGCGGGGAGGTGAATTTGCTCCGACAGGGCAGCAAAGCCTCCTCCCTGGACCCCAGTGGGCAAGAACTGCCTGCTCTGCTCCCAAGGAGGCGGCTTTGCTGCAGCAGCAAAGCCACCTCCCCAGGAGCCGCTCCCAGGGTTGCTTCACTGCTGGTTCTGCCATATAAAGCTGTTTTATGCTTTTTGGTCTGACCCAATATGGCCGTTTTTATGCCTGAAGATAGGAACGGAGCAAGATTCTGAATGGACTGGAGGGGAGGCAAGGTTGTAACAGTCATGGCTGGAAAGGCAGTGAATGCACAAGGCAGATACTGCCCTGGCTGAGAATGTAGCAGTCTGAACAGAGAAGAGCCAGATATACAAAGTTATTTAGGTACCTCAAGATGCAGGCAGGTAATTTTGCAAATTGCACCAGGAATCTGTCTGCACCTTTAGCTGCCTGCCTACCTTGTATACCTGATCGAGATGTTAATAGAGGTAAGACCATTTGTTAACCTTTTGAAGAAAAACACACCAAATCAAACAAAAAGAATCAAATGCTGAGAATATGAGGGACTTACAATTCTTTGATCCACAATTCTGCCTGGAAGAAGGGAAGGCTAAAAACAGAAAAAACAAGACAAAATGTGAATATTTCCTCTACAAGGACAGTAGAGGATTTAATTGCTCACAAACAACTGCAGTCTGAAAATCCTGACCCTTGAATGAAAAGTGAAAAATGTAAGATAATCTTTAACATTAAGGTTCAAGTCAATTACAAGCCTATCAGCCAAGTCATGAGAATATAACATGAGCACTGCACCACAGAGGTATCAGTAACAACAGGAATGCACAAGTTCCTACACAACCTGAATTCTTTCCCGGTGGACAAATACCTTTTCTCCTAGTTTATTTAAAAAGTAACTTCAGCTCTTTACCCTCAGGTGCAAGTTTAATATCACATTAGCTGAAGGGTTAGTGCACCTTGTAGTTGCTACGTATAATAGATTAGACAGACAGATGCTTGCACCTCATAGTTAGGCTCAGTGCTTTTGTTGTTAAAAAAAGTGCTGGTACTCCGGGGAAAAGTTGTTGAGCTCTGACTGGAGGTGCTGGTACTGTGTACTGGGCAGTACCGTCACAAAAAAAGCACTGGTTATGCTGCTCTGTGAGTTAGAGATGTGAATTTCTGCCAACACAGCTACGCCAGCGTAAGCCCTAGTGTAGATAACCCTATACCAGCCTCAGACTGCCTTTGCCAGTTCAGGAAACTCGCATGAACTATCTAAGCAAAAGCACTCCTACGCCAGGACAGCTGTCTCTACACTCGGAGTGCTTTGCCAGTAGAGTTAGGGCTACACTGAAAAGTTTTGCTGCATGACAATGGCTTTCCAATGGGGATGGCCAAGCATGTTGCAAGATCTGGCATTTAAGAGTCTGCGCTTAAGATTTTATACACTGCAGAAAAAACATTTTTACATTTAACTTTCTGATTACAGATCAGCTACAAAACAAGTTGTAGGAAATGGGGGGGAAGTCAGTTACATGGAAGATGTCGGGGGCAGGGGAGGAGGCAGAGAGAGCGCAAAATAAAAAAGTCAGTGTGACGCATGTTGCAAGATCTGGCATTTAAGAGTCTGCGCTTAAGATTTTATACACTGCAGAAAAAACATTTTTACATTTAACTTTCTGATTACAGATCAGCTACAAAACAAGTTGTAGGAAATGGGGGGGAAGTCAGTTACATGGAAGATGTCGGGGGCAGGGGAGGAGGCAGAGAGAGCGCAAAATAAAAAAGTCAGTGTGACACGCCATTATGAAGATAGACCCGCAGATGTACATATATAGCAGCATAGCTCTGGAACTCCTTGCCAGAGGATGTGGTGAAGGCCAGGACTTTAAGGGGATTCAAAAAAAGAGCTAGATAGATTCACAGAAGCTAGGTCCATCGATAGCTATTCACCAGGCTGGGTAGGAATGTTTGTCTGGAAGTGGGTGACAGGGGAAGATCACGTGATGATTACCTGTTGTGTTCCCTCCCTCTGGGGCACCTGGCATTGGCCACTGTTGGCTGACAGGGCACCGGGCTGGATGGACCATAGGTCTGACTCAGTCTGGCCGTTCTTATGTTCATCACTAGAATTGTGCTACCTGCAACAGTTTTTCCAGTTCCATATGTATCAATTTAAGAAATGAAGGGAGAGACTAGGGAAAATTAAAACAAGTGACAAGTGCAAAGATGATACAAGGATCAGTGCATCCAAACTTACCTTGGAGTTGAAGTTCTGGAATCTTTCACCTTGAGCACAATGACCGAGTCTGATCCTAACCAGAGGGGGAAGAAAAGTTCATCAAAATCTTGCTAGTTTTCACTATGCTCCCTAAGCAAGTTTCTTTACCTGATGCCACATTCTCACAGGCAGGTTTTCAGTCTGGACTCAAAACCCTGATCTTCATGTTAAACTTCAAACTGAGCTATTAAAAGGAATCTAAAGCAAGCAGATGCCTGATTTGGGTGCCTAATTCCCTTGGGTTCATTTGAAAGCTCGGTTTTAAAGGCACATTAGAATTTAGATTACAGAAATAAAAGATTACAAAATCATTCAAGTTATCCTAGAAGACATTAATATTGAAAACTAACAGGGTCCTGAAGCATAAAATAATCTGAAATACATAAAGCTGTAACAGGCAGAGGAAGTATGAATGGCTTGAAAGAGAGAAGAGAATAGAACAGACAAGACTATGGCAATAAGATGAGCAGAGGGAAGGGAAAGAAAGGCATAGCCACCAAACCCTGACCTTGCTTTCAGTTAGGATAAGAAGAAGCTGCATACCAAATTTGGTGGTCCTAGCTCTTACCGATTAGGAGAAATTCTTGAACAAATGGACTCAGACAGACACACAAACTCCATCTCTCACGAGAGATGCAACATGCACTATTGTTCGCAAACATGTCTCAAGTCCCATGGATTAAGGGTGCCACAGAAGGGCAAACATATGATTAGGTGTTTAGGCACTGTCACATAAAACTGGTTGCCAAACACTTTCCATTATATACTTCTTTTTTAATAGCTGCAACTGTATTTGGGTAGGCATCTTCCATGCTTCGTCTATGCTCCCAGGTGATGTGGGAAGGTGAGCAATAAGCAAACTGCTTGTAGCTATTTCTAAGCTGGTAATGCCTAGGGATTTGCTCCAATTCATTGCATCAGAGAGAGAAACAAGACGGCAACTTTTCAGCTCAGAAAAGTGACAACGACAAGGAGACCGGTCTATAAAATCATAACCGGCAGAAAGAAAGTAACTAAGAAAGTGCTGTTTATCCCTTCCCATAACACAAGAAATAGGTGTTATCAAATCAAATGAAAAGGCAGCATTTCTTCACACAACGTTCAGTCAACCTATGAAACTCTTTGCCAGAGGATGTTGAAGGTCAATGCTATGATAGATTTAAAAAAAAAAAAAACCTAGATACACTCATGGAGGCTAGGTTCTTTTACGGCTACTCACCAGGATGGGCAAGGATGCTGTCCCTGCCTGTTTGTGGGAAGCTGGGAACGGGCAACTGGGGATGTATTACTTCATGATTCCCTCTTCTGTTCATTCCCTCTGGGGCACCTGGCATTGGCCATTGTCAGAAGACAAGATACTGGCCTACATGTACATTTGGTCTGACCCACTGTGGCCATTCTTATAATCTCCTCCAGGCTAAAGCCAAGGATACACTTTTAAAGTACTTGACTTTCAATGAGACTTATGCTCCCAAGTCAGATTTGGAAATTTTATTCAAGCCTGGAAGTATCAATGCAAATGGCAAACCTTTCCAGAAGGGGAATTACAACAGAAATCATTTGTAACCTTCACTATAGCAATCGCTGCCAATAACCACAAAGATGTGCTTACATTACACATCTACCACATTTTGGACAAGAAAGCTATGAACCCTATCTTCAGACTCTTGCTGCTCCTACAATTAAGCAAAGCAACTATAAGGACAGAAATCAGCACCTAGCCCTCCTCTCCCACTATAGGAACAAATGAGATCCAAGTCTGTCCGTAAACCACAAGCAAAGCGTGGGACCAATGAGCACCCGTTTAAAAGGTTATTCAAACCAGTATTTGTTACTTGTATTGGCACCTAGGCACCCCAGCCATGGTCCTGAGCCCCACTGTGCTTGTTGCTAGGGGAAAAAACACGGAATAAAAAGAATTTGACATACATTTAATTGATCTCAATGTATTTTTACCTTCAGGCTGTGCGTTGGAGGCTGGCAGATTATCTTGCTGATGCCAAATGCTGGTATTATTGGACTGGAAGGTAACATCTGCAGGATAACTGGATACAGGGGAAGGAGGTGGCCTGTGTGACGGCTGCTCCTGAGTTCCCAGAACACTGGCTGTCTGGCTTCCTGAACTGAGGCTGTACGTTTCGAATGGTTTTGCATTCTTGCACGGCATTTCTGTCACTACGTTTTTACTGGAAGTCAAACATCTGGACCTACACACAAATGGAAGAAACTAAAAAAGTGCCACTGTGCTAAACTAAGTGAAAGAAGCAACGAGAGACAGAAATACATCCTTTAAAGAGTGGAAGTTAAAGCCTCGTGAGAAAAGCAGAAGAGAACATGAACTCTGGCAAGGCCAAAAAAGACTTTTTCCCAGAGAAAAAGACTGACTCTCAAGTGGGGAGGGTATTTCATGTACTCACGGGTGGAGGGAGAAAAGCGTGGCTGGCTTGGATGTTGAAAACTGTTTTCCTGTGACCATCTGAAGCAGCTGCCTATAGATCTCTCGCTCCTCCTCTCGAACTGTCTGCAGAGAAATAACCAGACACCCCAGCACTGCCGTAAGACTCAAGTCGGGCTTAACAAATACAAACACTACGGCTACACTGGCATGATTTTGCACAAATACTTTTAACGCAAGAGTTTTTGCGTTAAAGTATTTGAGCAAGAGAGCGTCTACACTGGCATGTGCCTTTGCGCAAGAGATGTGCTTTGCGCAAAAGCATCTGTGCCAGTGTAGACACTCTCTTGCACAAGAAAGCTCCAATGGCCATTTTAGCCATCGGGCTTTCTTGTGCAAGAAATTAACGTTGCCTGTCTACACTGGCCTCTTGTGCAAGAACAGTTGCGCAAGAGGGCTTATCCTTGAGCGGGTGCGTCAAAGTATTTGCGCAAGAAGCACTGATTTCCTATATTAGAACGTCAGTGTTCTTGCACAAGTACTCGTGGCCAGTGAAGACAGGTGGCAAGATTTTGCGCAAAAGCAAGTGCTTTTGCACAAAATCTTGCCAATGTAGACACAGCCTACCAATAATAGGAAGTGAGCAGGAACAGAGACACACTGGGTTATAGACGCGCTGCTGGAGCAGACACACCCGCACAAGGGGTCTCAGGAACTTATAGAACATTAGCCCCACAGGATCAGAGAGCTACCAGGGCTAGACTGTTTGCTGAGCTTGCCTACTCCACAGGAAGACGACTGCCATCTGAACTCCTGTCTGACAGAAACAAAGTACAACAGGAGCAGAGACCACTCCATCTATTGAGGGAATGTTGATGCTAATCTTCAAATTCCATAAGAACCCTTGCTCAACCTCTTCACACTTCACAAGGCTGGCAGGAGCTACAGCAGGTCCCATGAGGGTCTCCTATCATTTCCCCGCTCCTGAGAGCTCATGGGGAAGTTGTCCCCACCCTACCCACTCCCACTGCAGTGGGATTTTGGAAGGGGTATGGGTTGGGGTTCAGGAAGGAAGCAGTACTTTAATATCCCAAACAGCAGCATACAGTCTTATCCAAAAGAAGACCCTGTATTCAAATGTAAGTCTGCCCTGCTTGTCCTTACCTCTTCTGCAGTGCTGACGAATCTCCTCTGGGTTTTCTTGGGACTCAGCAGGCTGCGACGGCACGAGGGACTTGTAACCGGCTTGATTGGAAATGTTTTTTCATATGCAGATATGGGGCAATGATGGTTTGACTTCCCTACAAAACTATTTGACATTCCACTGGGGAAAGAAGACAGAATGTTAGCTACAAAATAAGCATTAAATCACTGATACGTATGAATTTTCCCAGAAACCCCCTCAAAGTACCAGGGAGAGAAAGGAGACCAATGTAAGGCTGAAGGCCACCCCACAGCGTCCCTAAGACTGAAACTTAACTTTTCACTGAGAAGTCAATGAAAACTTCCATCGAGGGGTGTCCCCATTGCTCCTGGTCAGCGAAGCAGAACTAACAGCCACTTCACTGGTCCTGTTCTCACCTGGTCATATTTTTGTTCCATTTCTCTCATCTCAGGCTCCAGGGAATAATTCATGAACTCACTTTGCAATGAAGATACAGTTCCAAGAGCTTCTCCACAGAAGTCACTGAAGCCTGATTTACACAAAGTTTCTGCACTGATGTAGCTTTGTTAGAGATGTGATTTGTAAACCTTAATTATGCCAGTAAAAAGCAGCCTTATACGGAAAGAAGAAACACGGGCATAAGGCAGCTTTATAGTTGGCATAACTACCTCCATGCTAAAGGGGGGTTGTACTGCTTTAATTGAATTGGTACAGGAAAGTGCCACAACTTGTGTGTTCACATAAGGTTTAAAAATCCCCTTTTAGAAACAAAGTTGGCTTCAGCCCCATTCCCTCCTGAGTCTTATTGCTCCCTTCTCCCCCCCTCCCTTGGCTGCCAAGTGATTACGGAATGGCAAAAAATGACTATAGGGTCATGGAGACTGTTTCTCCAGCTATTGTTTGATTGGATGGGGGAGGGGCCCTTCACAGAGATCCTTAAGCTCCCAAAGGGCTATATTCTATTGTTTGATTGGGAGCTTAAGGATCTTGGTGAAGGGCCCCTCCCCCACCCACAGGGCTATATTCTATGCAAACTTTCTGAAGAGGACAAATTAGAACACTGATAAGATTTTCAGACACATCTACCATGCATGCAAGATAGCAGTTGGGGGGCCCAGGAGAACCTTGGCTTCCAGGAGGACGTGGACACATTGGAGAGGGTCCAGCGGAGGGCAACCAAAATGATTAGGGGGCTGAAGCATATGACTTATGAGGAGAGGCTGAGGGACTTGGATCTGTTTAGTCTGCAGAAGAGAAGAGTGAGGGGGGATTTGATAGCAGCCTTCAACTTCCTGAAGGGAGGTTCCAAAGAGGCTGGAGAAAGGCTGTTCTCAGTAGTGACAGATGGCAGAACAAGGAGCAATGGGCTCAAGTTGCGGTGGGAGAGGTCCAGGTTGGATATTAGGAAAAACTATTTCCCTAGGAGGGTGGTGAAGCACTGGAATGGGTTCCCTAGGGAAGTAGTGGAGTCTCCATCCCTAGAGGTGTTTAAGTCTCGGCTTGACAAAGCCCTGGCTGGGTTGATTTAGTTGGAATTGGTCCTGCCTAGAGCAGGGGGCTGGACTTGATGACCTTCTGAGGTCTCTTCCAGTTCTATGATTCTATGAGGACATGAAATTATTACTCATTCAATGCTGCATTAAATGTTGTTAGTATATGAACAAATTTGGAATTGTTTATCAAAGGCTTTTAAAGACATGCCGCTTGGGTGGGGAAGGGGCCGTAAATACTCCACACCACAGGATTTAGAGGAATGTTTCTAAAGAGGA